GGGTAAAATGACAATTTTCAAAAGGCACCAAATGTACTTCCATGTTGCAGGCACTGTCGCTTTATTGTCACTTGAGAATAATGCCTTCATATTAGAGTTTTGGATGAATGGAAATTTGACACAATTCAATTCCCTCAGTAGTCATCTTACAATGCCAAAGAATGAGGACGAATTTTTCTTACAGCTTGATTACCACCCTTCTCTCTCGTACTGCTTCGTAGTTATTCCAATATTCTCGATTACTCCAAGTTGTTTTTTTTGGAAGAAATTCCTTGAATCACTCCATACATTCTTAATTTATAATGGTGAGCTGTGTGTAGTGTAAAAATGACGTAAAGGAAGCGAAAAATTCAATCTCTGTTCACAATTTCAATCCTTTCTCCTTCTATAGGGCGATATAGGTAGACGAACTTGAAGTAGATGAAGTCCTTTACATATGACTCTTATTCAACCTGACTAGTTAACTGGAAAATTTTCTAGTTTGGGAGAATGAGGCATCACAACGCGCGAATCAAACGATATCGCAAAGGGTGGACTGAATTTAGCGATCTTTGCAGTAATAATATTAATAATAATAATAATAATAATAATAATAATAAAAGTCTTTATTCCATCATAAGATAAAACTACATATCTTATGTTACAATGAATTTGGAAAAACTACAGAAATCTACATACATATTATGAATTAAAAAGTATGTCATTACAATAAATGGAGCTTAAATATCAACCTATTTACAAAGGTGTTCATAAAGCGCTGTGTATTAATTTTCGGGCGCGCGCAGCCTTTTTTCCTAAGATTGTGTACATATGTCTTTTGGACAGGAATGATGTCTTTCAGGGGGTGGCAATCCGTTGATTTTAGTTTCTTCAAAATGTTTCGGTCTTGTTTGTTTAAAAGGTTCTTGATAAAAACTGGAAATGAGATAAAACCGCGTTTATGACATCGGTCTAAAAAATTTTGTACAACCGTAAGATCGGACTCAGATGCCCCATAGACTGAAAGTGCATAGCTAAAATTAG